GGAGGTGGGGGGCTTAAAAGCTTCTGTTCTGAGTGGTCATTGTCCCCGGGGTTGAACATTCGGTAGATCACCCTGGTGACAGGTGACAAACATTCCTCCGAGAAGGGGGAGAGAGGAAAGAAACCCAGACACAGGTGGCTGGGGAGGTGCGGGGAGGGGAGGGGAGGTGGGGGGCTTAAAAGCTTCTGTTCTGAGTGGTCATTGTCCCCGGGGTTGAACATTCGGTAGATCACCCTGGTGACAGGTGACAAACATTCAGTGGGGTTTGTTGGGAATCACCAAGGAAGGCTCTGGAGGCGGCACCCCATTCCTCCGCGCGCGCCCCCCCCCCCCCCCCCCCCGTTCTTCTCCAGACAAAGGATCTTGGCAACAGGAAACCCAGCTGGCGAGGTCAGCTGGGAGCCTGCCCTACCAGGGTCTTTGCAGGGTGGGCGCTGCTGGCGTCTGAGAGCTGACGGCCTGTTCCAACACCCCCATCCCCAACTCTGGAGCCCCCACATTCTGAGTGGGGTTTGACTTTTCCTGCCCACCTCCCCTGCAGGGCTGGACGTCTGGCTTGCCGGGCCTCCTGTGTGAACCTGCTTCCCTCGAGGACCCCTTTCCTCGGCCTGGCCCCCGGGGGGTGGGGCGCAGTGTTGGGGGTGCAGGCCCCGAGGGAGGCAACCTACCCTGAAGCGGCCAGTCGGCATCCCTCACGCCCAGCTTCTGCTCCCCACTGGGCTTCCTTCCCGTGTGCCCTGGCACTAAGGACTTCGGCCCGCGCCTAGGTTCCTTCACCTGCAAAATGGGGAAATAAGAGAACACACTCATAGAAGGCTGGGAGGGCTAAGCGAGGTTTCAAGCTCTCGTAGCCGGTGGCCGTGGGAGCCCCGGCTGCGAAGGGGCCAGAGGCAGCGCTGACAGCCCAGGTCCCAATCGACAGCTATTGCAGACACGGTTTTACAGAACGCAGCTGACAGTGCCGTGCCTGCCTTTGCTGTGAAATGACTTGAGTGGTTGTAACAAAGACTGTACAGCCTGCAAAGCCAAAAATAGTTCCTATCTGGCCTTCCCAGAGTCGGAAACAGTGGAAACTCTTAATGTTATTTACGGTCTTACTCATTTTCATGTCTATGTTCTTGGTCTTACTAACAGTCTTGTTCTTATTCTCCCACTGCTTCCACCTTGGGCTGCACAGCCGGGGAAGCAGGGAAGAAGTCTCAGCCTTTCACTTTACTGCAAAGATGTGCTGGAATCTTCTCCCTCCCCTGCTGCCCCCCCCCAGGCCCTGTCTGCGGGGGGGGGACCCCTGTCTAGTGGGGCAAATAGACAAGTTACCATTCATAGTCCACTGTAACTGGAGAGAGCCAGGGCTGGGGGAGATCCAGGAAAGCTTCCTGGGGGAGGTGACTTCTGGGCTGAAGCAGGAGAGAGTAACCTGGAAGCCGGCCCCACAGTGGCAGCCAGAACTCACTGAAAGATGCCAGCCTGAGCCAGCCTCTTCACCCTCTAGAGCCCTTTCCTCTTCCTGGCGTGGTGACGAGCACCTAGTGAGGCCTGAGGATCAGCACCCAGGTGCCCGCGCTCTCAGGCCTGGCGGCCTCGGCCTCCTTTTCCTGACCTGGGACAGGAGGAATGTGGGGTTTGTTTTAGCAAATGTCATAGAAAGGAAGCGCTTTGCAACTGTCCTGCTTTCTCTCTTACCCTAAAGGGGCTGCAACTGGATGTGTTCCAGAAGGAACAGGGTGGGGCGGAGGGAGGGTTTCCCAGCTCCCAGGCTGTCTCCAAAGTCCAAGGTTCTGCTGGGTCCCGGCTGCACCCCAATCTCCTTGCCTCTCGGAGCCCCCGCTGCCTTCTCTAGTGAAGTAAGCGGCACTCAGCGAGACGGTTTACGTCAGCACTCAGGACAGGGCACTGGTGGCCGGTGCCTGGGCAGTCTGCAGTCTGTGGACCGAAGTGTGTGGCCGCTCCTGGCCCTGGGCTGGCCACACGGCCTCAGCTCAGCCCTTGCTCACCCGGCTACCTCAGCCGGTGGCTCTCCTCTGGCCTCTGCCTCAGCGCCTGCCCCCGGGGCCGGAGTCCGGCCCGGCCAGCCGCACTGGACACCAGGTCCTCCTCCAGGGGCACTCTTGGCTCTCGGGCCCCTCCTGAATGTCCAGCTCACAGATGTGATCACCGAGGCCCAGGCCTTTCTTGTGCCCCTGCACGCATTCCGTGGGGTGGGGGATGTTGATGTTTTTTGGGGGGGCTGCAGAGATCTGCTGGGGGGGCAGTTGAAATGCGGATACTGGGGTCCATGATGGGGGTTGACCCAGAGCAGAGCTCAGGGCTGGACACGGGGCAGGTCTGGCCGGAGACAGTCTGATCCCCACGTCAGCAAAGGGGTGGCGGGACACAGCTGGTGGCCGGAAGAGATGTTGTTGGTCTGCGGGGGCCTCCCGCAGGGGCGGCAGCGGGCGGGGAGGAGCAGCATGTTTTCACAACGTGGGCTGGGCAGAGGGGTCCCTGGCATGCTTGGTGGAAACCTACTTTGGAGGCGGAGTGAGATATGAAACCGTAGCAGCAGAGATTTAGGTGAGATACAGAGGAGAAACTTTCCGCCTGCCCCCGCGGGAAGAGCCGGGGCATGTTCCCAAGGGAGGCGGGGGCATCGTTCCAATCTAGAGGTGGTTTGGAAAGAGACGACAAACATTCTAGGCTGGCTTCATGCACCCTGGCTCAGACAGGGGGCCACAGACCAGGGCTTCTGGAAACTCTTGATGCCGGCAGTCTGGGCATCAAGACTCAGCTCAGCTAGCCCCTGCTCAAACAGCTCCCACTGCCCCAGCTTCCCTCGCTCAGGCGCCCAGCCGAAGTCCTCGCTGGGACCACCGGGACCCCCGGCCTCTGCTCTCCCGACCGCTCCATCCTCACCTGCAGCCACAGCCCAACCGACTCCACCTCTTTCTGTTTCGGGTTTCATGTCCTCTGCGCCTCCAGGCCTTCGTCCATGCTGTTCCCTTGGCTTCAGACACCCTTCTTCTTGCCTGGACCTTCCCTTCCCAGCTCTTGGTTGCCTCCTCCATGGCTGGGTTAGGCCCCCCAGGGCTCGCCAGCACTTTACTGCAAACTCTCTGGGGTCAACCCCTCCCCGCCGGACCCGCAGCCCTGGAGGGTCAGGTCTTCGCCTGCTGGCCCAGGGCGTCTCTAGCACGATGTCCCGCACACCGTAGGTGCTCAGCGAGGGGCTGTTGTAGCGTGAGTGTTTGGGGAAGTGGGTCCAGGAGGAGCTGTTCCCGCACCCCCTGGCACTCAGCATCAAGACCAGAGCGTTGAGCAGAGACGGGGTTCAAACCCCTCTCCTGCCAGCACCCACAGCTCCCCAGCCTCTGCAGGGTCTCATTTCCTTCACCTGTGAGCCTGGACGGTCCATGGTGGAGGGGGCGCCGTGGTCAGCGTTCACCAGGCGGGGTGTGAGGCTGACACTGTCCTTTCTCTGCAGGTGACGGCATGTCGGTGAGGGTGCGGTTCCTGTCCTCTGGGGACCCTGGGGCCGTGGGGGTCGTGGGCCGGAGCGCCTCCTTTGCGGGCTTCAGCAGCGTGCAGAGCAGGAGGATCGCGTAAGTTCTGTCCCTGCCCTGCGTGCTGGGGGCCGGACAGGGACAGCAGGGACAGCCCCCTGCTGGTGACCGAGATTTGCTCTCATGCCAGATGAGTGTGTGTGTGTGTGTGTGTCTTAGTGTGTGTGGGAAACAATTTTTCCTGGCCATTCTCTTCCCCTGCAGTCAATCTGCCTGAACTTATCAAACCCTCTTGGCAGAACAGAGCCCTGGTGCTCAGAGAGGTGGAGACACGCACCCAAGGTCACACAGCAAATCTGGGTCAGGGATGAAACTTAGTCGCCTGGGGGTGGGGTTAGGATGCCCAGGTCAGGTTAGTATGGAATGTTCTTCCTCTTTGACAGAGGGGAAATGGGGCCACCCAGCCTGGCTCTGTAACTTGGGTCAAGTGATGTCACACCTCTGGGTCTCAGTTTCCTCATCTGTGAAATGGGCTCCCAAATGTCCCTCCCTTACTAGGTTGTCATGGGGCACGCTGAGGGCACACGTGGAAAGCACGCAGTAGGTGCTTGTGAAGCTTTCAGAGGCGGCGGAGCCATGTTGCAGAGGGAGCTCGGGGTCAGCACGGCCTCTGGCCGTGAGCGTGTGGCTGCCCGCTCCTCCCAGGCCTGCCTGGCCCCCTGGCTCCAGACCTGCATGGTGGGGTGCTGTGCAGACCCTTGGGACCTAGTAGCCAGCAGGCAGCCCCCAAGTCACCCTGAGGGGCCCAGACATCTGCCTGTTTGAGCAGATGCGGAGAGGGAGGGCCTCCAGCCAGAGCAAGGCACAGAGCCTGTGTGCCCAGCGAGTCAGTCACAAGCAGATCCATCTCCCTACTCCCCTGCCTGAGCCCGCAGCATGTCCTTCTCACCTCAAATGCACAAACCTGCCCCTGTGACCTGGCCGGTCTCATGTGCAACCCGCACTTGAGCCACGCAGCCCTCTCCCCTCTGGGCCGGAGCACGGCCCTGCCCCCACCCAGCGCTCTCCTGCCCCTTTTCACTTGCCCAGCCCTGCTTCATGCTCCTCTGGCCTTGGCTTCAGTGTCTGTGAAGGCCCCTGGGCCCCGCCAGCGCCTGCCTGTAGCCCCCTCCCTAGGGCTCCTGCACACAGGCCCTCAGCCAGGCCCTCCCCGCTCACACGCCTCACCTCTAGGTGAGCTGGAAGAGTGACGTCTGAGGGTGGCAATCCTGGAGTATCCCAGGGAGCACGCCTAGGAACCCCTAATTCACTCAACAAATATTTATGGGCTACCTTCTTGGCCTGGCCTTGCTCCAGGCCTGAGCCTGCCTTCCTGGATGTGCGCTGCCCAGGCAGTAAACAGCAAGGCAAAGAAGATCAGGATGGATGCAGCTGGTGGCACATGCTGTGAAGGAATTCAAATAGGGGGGTGCAGAGGAAGGCGTCAGGGGGGCGGGGGGGAGCAAGTGAAGACTGGAGAGAGAAGGAGGAGCTGATCATCTGCAGATGGGGTGCGGGCTGGAAGTCGTGCAGTGGAGGGGAGTGAGTGCAAAGGTCCCGAGGCAGGCGTGAGCTTAAGGGACAGAAAATGAGCCTGTGGGATGACTGTGGTAGAGGGTCTGTGGCCACAGCAAGGACAGTACGTGGGGAGTACAAGGAATTGAGACCCCCCAAACGGGAAGACGTTTGGACAAAGTCCCAGAGGGAGTTAGTGTCCAGCGCTCCTGACCCCAAGCTTCCGAGAGGAGAAACTGTGGACCCAAAGGGGGAAGGGACCCAGTGGGTGCGCCGCAGACTGGTCAGCGGAGCCATTTCGAACGGCTTCTTCAAGGGCTTCTTCAAGGGCTTCGCTCTGTGGCCTGTAGTCGGGGTTTCAGAGGACAGCTGCGCCACCCTTTAACTGCTCAAACTCTGAAGTCCCTTTGTTCACAGGTGAAGGTGTTGCCCATGACAGCACATCTATTTTTAGCTTCCTGTCTCTGTCCAACTCCCAGGGGTCTGGACCCTTGGCTCTGGGGCTGGGCAGCCTGGATTAGGTGTCAGGTCTTACCTTCTGGCCTTATTTCCCAGGTAATCCAACCAGACAAAAATGCAGTCACATTGCCAAGGTACACAGAGGCTGCTGTAGGTAGGCAAAATAACCTTAACCAGGAGAGCAGGACTCCACTTAGATGTGGCAGGTAGCTGCCCTCTGTCCCTAACATCACCCCTTTCCTGGCAGCTGAACCTCTTTGACGCTGGCCAGAGTTTTCTATCCCACTGTGAAGGAATTCTTCAGAAAAGTAATCTGGTGGGGGAGTTTTATACTAAAGTGTGAATGGTTGCTATATGCCACCACGTAAAATATAGCTATTGCTGTGTTATAGAAAACAGCCACATCTAATAAGGAGAAGAGGCTCAGGCTCTGACGGGTGCCTGCTGTCCTGCTTAACAGGCACATTAACCCTCCCCTTGCCAGTCCTCCACAGGGTCTACCCTCCTGTAGGGTCTCAGGCAGGCAGTATCCTGTGCCAGAAGGCACTGTGATGTTCTCTCTGCTTTGGGCATCCCTCTGTCGCGATGGCCAGGAAGTGGGTGTGAGGGCTGAGCAGCCCACCCTTGATGTTCAAGGAGAGGAAACGGGGAAAGAGCCGAGCAGAGGCACTCACAAGCCCCACAGGAGGAGAGCAGTAAGGGGCTCAGAAGTCGGGGCTGAAGGACAGTCTCTGCCTCAGCTCCCTCCCCAGGAGGGAGGGGCAGCCCTCCGGGCGAGAAGCAAGCTAGCCCACACGCAGAACCCAAGGGTCACGCGCGCCCCCACCCCCGCCTCCTGGCACCCCGGACGAGGGGGACAGGCCTGCTCACACTGCTGTGGCCTCGCGTGCTCGCTGACGCACAGCCAGGGGGCCCGTGCTGGCCCCAGCCACCTCCAGCCCCCGCCTGGGGCAGGGCAGGCAGGGACGGGAGCCCAGCCCCGTCTGGCAGCAGCCCTGGCATTGCAGCACCCCGAGGTGTCTCCCGCTGACACCAGGCTGCCTGGCAGGTAGCACGTGCCGGCCTGGAGGCTTGGCTGGTGTGCTGGGGGCTGTTTGATATTTACTGAGTCGTCCCGGGGCTGGGAAGCATCGCCTCCGCAGCTGCTCCCTGCCCTGGCGGTTGGGACACGGGGCCAGGCCCGCGGCCTGCTTGCCCCATCCAGAGGCTACATACACGTCGCTGTCGCCGGCTGGGCGGCCCTCGCGGTGGCCGCCACGCCTGCCCGCTGGAGCTCACGCCAGAGCGTGGCCTCCCCGGAGCCAGCGCCTCCAGCTGCAGCGCAGCGACAGGGTGAGGAGGCCCAGGTGCGTGGAGGGGGCCTGGCGGGGCGCACACCCGCCGGGGAAGTGGGGTCCCGCCAGCTGCAGGTGAGAGGAACTCCTGCAGCCCCCCGCGGAGCCGCTTGCCCGCTCCCCTCCGCCTGCCTGCCTGCTGGGGACCCTCTGGTGCGAATCCACCACTCTCGCGGCTGCAGCCCCGCCCCGACGGCCAGCCGGGAGATGGCCACTCTGTGGAGGACCTGCTCCAAGAGGTGGGTGATGTGGCCTCGCGAGGGCGAGGGAGGAGGGGACACAGCCCTTCTCGCGTGTGGGGCAGTGTAGTCGTGGACGGCACTCATGACGGCCAGGCTTTGTGCCCCCGCCCGGGCCCAGCACCTGTCCCCGGTCGCCCGACCGGGAGGGTCTGCCCTCTCACCTGCTTCTCCTGTTTCAGTTCATTTCCCTTCTTTATTTTGGCCCTTGGCACTGGGCATTATCTGACACGTGACTTATCCAATGGGCCTTATTTAACTGCCGCCTCAAGGCAGCGTCTGCCCGACGCTCTTCCGAGCGCTTTGCCAATGCTTTCTCCGACCCCTGTTGTACGGAGGCACAGAGAGGCTCAATAACTTGCCTAAGGTCACACAGCTCACAGGGGGAGCAGGACAGAAGCCGGCCCCGTGGCCTTCTCCACCTGGCACTAGGCAGGGGCCCTCTGTTTTGGCCAGTGTCGTCCTCACCCCTGGAACGCCCCGGGCACACAGCAGGTGCTCAGTAGGTACTGACGGCTCCGCGGGCTGGACACTCTTACATCCTCGTTTTACAGATGGAGAAACTGAGGCTCCTGTAGATTCTGTCCCTCTGACCTCTGAGCACAGCCCAACCCGAGGGGGGCCGGGAGCTCGCGAGGCCCCGAGGCGGGACCCAGCTCCTTCCTCAGCCGCCTCCGCAAGCCCTGAGGGCTGGGCTCTGTTTCTGTGTTAGTCCGAAGGCGGCTGGGCAGCATGGTGGGGGACTTGGTCCCGTGGGCCGGACAGCTCTCTGCCGAGTCAAGCTGTGTCTGGGCCTGGTATGAGTGGCGTCTGGCTGGACTGGAAAGACAGCCTGGTCACCTGCTCAGGCCTTTGGGGACTGGGCGGGGCGGGGGCCCAGCGGCCCTTCTCTTGAGCCTGGGAAGGAGACGGCTGAGCTCCGCTTGTCGCCTACGTGGCTCTCCAGATGGCAAACCCCCTTCCCTCGAGGGTGGGACACCCCCTGGCTCCCACCATGGCCCCTGATTTGGAGAAGACGAGGCTGGGTAATGTCTGAATGAGCGAGTGAGTGAGTGAGCCCTATGCCCTTGATGTCAGACCTGGAAAGCGCAGTGAGCGACGGGGGCTGCCAGGGAGACGGGGAGCCAGGCTCCCCGCAGCAGGGAGTCTCCCCAGTGCAGCAGGAATGCCAGGCCTGAGACCGGGGTCCCTGAAGGGTGGCCCATGGGCCAGCAACCTTGACAGCACCTGGGATCATGTTAAAAATACAGATTCTCAGGTCCTAGCCAGACCTGCTGATTCTGGAATTCAGAGGAGTGGCGTGGGCGGGGGGTGCTGCCGGTGGGGGGTATTCAGCATTCGGGGTCTAATAAGTCCTCCAGTGACTCTGCTGACCATGGGCCCCCGGGACTCTGGCTCTCTGCTCCCCGGCTTAGAAGACCCTTCTTGGGCGAGACTTTGCCCAGCTCGTCCTCTGGGGTCCAGCTGAGCCTCGGCTCCCGCACTGCGCCTCGGGCGCCTCTCTCCCCTTCTTGCCGTGTCCCCGTGCCCCCCCCACCCCCCCACCAGGCTCTGGGTCAAGGGAGAGGCAGGCCGTAAGCCTGGTAACAACAGCGAGCTACTGCGACTCTCACTCAGGGAGCGCCACTGTGCGCCCAAGTCCGGCCTTGGCACCCCTCTCGAAACGAAGCCCCCCATTTTGCAGATGAGGAAATGGAGACCCAGGAGTCTCAGCAGCTTTCCTGAGGCCCGTTCAGCTCCGAGTGGGTTCACCTGGTCTCAGGCTCCGAGCGCTGCTCGCAGCCCGCCCGCCCAGGGGCCCGGTCCACCTGACCCCGCCACCCCCTCACAGGAGGTCCATCCACAGGAACTCCGTGAGGCCACGAACGCCTGCCAAGTCCTCCAGGATGTATGGCACGCTGAGGAAGGGGCCCGTCTGTCCAGACCCCCGGCCGCAGCAAGTGAAGAAGATCTTTGAAGCTCTGAAGAGAGGCCTCAAGTAAGGACAGGCTGCCTCCTGCTGGGGCGGTGCGGCCGGCTCTTGTCTGTAGGAGGCCACAGGTGGAATCCTAGACACTTATTTGGGGTCGGCAGCACCCCCATCTTCTCTGGGGTCCCGACCCCCGAGCGAGTGATTGCCTGGCACGGGGTGTTGTCGGGGGGCCAGAGCGGGTGAGCGGTCTTCCCGGGACACAGCACAGCTGTGACGGTGCCGGACGGGCCCCTCCCGCCCGAGTCCAGGCTCAGGCGTCCTGTCCACACGTCTCAGGTTGGGAAACGCACGGCATGTCCCTCCCTGCCCGTGCCTCTGTGCCGTCCAGAATGGGCGCTCAGGCCCCTCTCAGGACCTCAGCCCGGCTCCAGGCGGCAGGATGGCCTGCCTGTCCCAGGAGGAGGCCTGCACTTGCGTCCTCCCACGGCCAGGGTGGGCTTCCTGGCCTGCTCTCGGTCCTGGGTTCAGCCTCTTCCTGCCCTGTGACCCTGAGCTGCGTGACCGGCCACCTTCAGGGCCGTTTGCCCTTCTCCACAATGGGCATAACAGAGCAGGACCCGTTGATGGGGATCAACTGAGAGTCCCCCACGGCGTGTGGGGTCTGGGCGGATGGCCGGCGGGACCGTCGTCTGCCTTCGGGGCGCTGAGACCCACCGCTGCCCTCCGTGCGGGGGCCAAGGAGCTCTGCTTCTCTCCTTCGGCTCCTCTCCAAACTCCTTTTCTTCCTCTCCTCCCAGGGAGTCTCTGTGTGTCCAGCAGGCCGAGCTGGATTACCTGTCTGGACGCCACAAGGACACCCGCAGGAATTCCAGGCTGGTGAGACCCCGCCCAGGCTCCTGCCAGCCGCGAAGGCCTGCTTCCAAGAGGGGCCCCTCGGCCCCCGAATGGGTCAGAAATCTCAGTCTCGTAACTCAGGCCCGAGGAGTATTTTATTTGGGGCTGAGTTGACCTCACAGGCTCGGGGAGCGCCTCTCCCCACCTGCAGCAGGTCGTGCGTGCGAGCCCCTCCTTTCTCGCTCGGGGTTCAGAGGTGACTTGGGGGGCAGCGGATGGCTGAGTACAGTTTAGACGGCCTGATTGTATACAGGCCATGGCGCTTGGCTGCCCTGCACAGGGTGCTTCTGTGAGGTCACAAAGTGGGTCAAGCCTCGAATCTGGAGTATGTGACAGTGACCGCCCCCGACTGTCGCTGCTCCAGGGTGCAGGACCCCAACACCGCTGGCTTTGAAGCTCCCCGCTGTCTTTCGGACGGTGTTCCTGAGTCTGGCCTGGTGTAGCCCAGGCTAAGCTGAACTGACCTAAAGCCAAGGCTGAGCCCAAACGAGCAGGAATAGGCTGCCGGGTTCAAGCTGATTTGCGGCTTCCAACGGGCCCTGACTCAGCAGGGTGCCCGCACACTCTCCTGACACACGATGCTTAGGTCACTCGTGACTTACCGGACACTTAGCTGTGGGTGGGCGCCCTGTGCTCTCGCGCCCGGGGCCCCAGCTCAGGGGACCCTCACGGTTGCAGCCGGGCTGTCCTGTCTCGGGAAGTCCCTCCCGCCGCTGCTGCCCGGTGCGTGGACCTGCCTCACTGGACACCCTGGCCCTAGGGGGTTAGACTTCTGGGCCGAAAGCCAGGAGGCTCCACTGCTGGTGGCACTGGCCTGCCAGCCCTCTGCCGGTCCCTCAGCAGGGCGTCCACCAGAGGGAGGAACTGGAGAAATGGACGGCGGAGCGAATCTTTCCACCCAAACAGCATCCGGCCACCTCTGCATCCCCAGCGGCGCAGGGGCACGTGGGCCCAGCCTTGTGTGGGTGCCGGCGGGCTGCGCCCAGCGCGTGGTCTTGTCCTGACCCTGGGGTGGGCAGATAGGCCCAGATGGTGGGGGCCCTGCCAGGATCCCACCCCCAGTTCCCAGCCACAGGCCGCAGGCCCCCACCGCTTCATGCAGGTACCTGGGGCTCGAGGCCCCTCTCCCCATTCTGGAGGTGACCCCAAGGCGGGCCTAGCTGGCTGCCATGGCACAGATGGGCACACAGAGCCGGGGAGGGGCCGCGCCTGCCGGCCCCCACGCTGCGGGTTCTCAGTCCCTGTCCTTCCCTTTCTCCTGTATTGCTCAAATGGAGCCATAATCTCATAGCATCCGATGCCATATAACCGGGAAAGCCTCCATCTCTGGGTGGCGGCTTCATGTCTCTCTTCTTTTTGCATCTTCCCGTCCCCTCCTCACCTAACCCTTGGCGACCAACCTGGATTTCTCTTCCCCACTTTCCCCTGGTCACTTGGTCACATAAACACACAAACAAGAGCACGTTGAGGGTGGGTCAAAGGTGTCTTACCTGGGCTTCGCGGCCTCCAGGAACCCCTCCAGGTGCAGGCCGAGGACTCACCTAGGTGGGCAAAACAGGGCGTTTCTGCAGACAAGTTCCGTCACACGCTGCCCATCTTTCCTTCCCTCCACAATGGCGGACACCACGGGCCCGCAGAGCCCGAAAAACCTGGTCCATTATACGAAGAGTCAACGGTGTTTACTCCCTGGCTGCCCCTGGCCCCTGGCCTGGAGGGGGCGCCCAGGGGGTGCCTGCCTCTCCCTGCTCTCAGTAATTCTGGTCATGGCTGCAGTCACCCCTTGAATAGCCACATGCCAGCGGCCCCCATTTGGTGAAGAACCTGCTGTGTCCTTTGCTCCTCGGAGCAGCCCTCGGCTGGGTACACTGACGAGGAAATAGAGGCTCAGAGAGGTCAAGTAACTGCCCCAGGACACACAGCTGGGAAGATCCAGGCCTAAAGCTCTCACCCAAGACACCTGCTCACTTGCCCTCGGCCAGACCACGGCTGGCTGGCTGTAGGCCTCAGAGCACGGGTGCAGTAGCCACTGGCCTTTTGTCTCTGAGCCTGGGCGCCTGGGACGTTAGCCTAACAGGTGTTGGAGGAGCTTCTGGCATGCTTATGCCTTTTCCCGCCTTCCTCTCTCCCCGCAGGCTTTCTACTACGACCTGGACAAGGTGAGTGCATTCTTGCCCTGGCTGTACCCGGGAGGGCTGGGGCCTAGCATGCCACCTTCCCCCACCTGTGGGAGAGGACCCGCCTTTCCTGCCCCCCGAGACTCGGCGAGGAGCCCTCTTCGGGGGTGGTGAGAGGTTGGCTTCGTGCGCAGTCTGAGGGTTAGGACCTGCGGAGGGTGGCAGGGCCGGCTGGCGGAGGCCCAGGCCGCTGTGACAGCGTCTCCTCTCTTTCTGGGAGAAGCAAACGCGCTCTGTGGAGAGGCACATTCGGAAGATGGAGTTCCACATCAGCAAGGTCAGCCTGGTTCCTGGGGTGTTGCAGGGTGGGCGGGGCAGCCTCTCCCTGAGAACTTCAAGATCAAGGCGGATGCGGCCCAGGGGCCAGGCCAGGGTACCCAGGGGACTCGAACGTGTCTCTTCTGGGCTAGTGGGGGGATGTTTCTCTGGGTGGTGGGACTGGAGGACGCTGAAGATGAGCAGAGACTGTAGGGGTCCAGCCCTAATGGGATTGGGGTGGCTGAGGTCCCCCAGGAGTTGAGACATTTAGACAGAAGGATCACGAGTCATACTCAGTCTGAAGAGGGAAGGTTCGTTCAGTCCCACCACACTGTACAGAAGGTAGAGGCCCAGAGAGGGACAGGGAGGGGCCCAAGGTCACACAGCAAGGCCTTTACAGTCTGCAAAGCCCCTGTGGTCAGGGCTGGCGGAGGGGGTGCTGGAGATCACCAGCCCACCTCCCCTGTCCCACGGCTGACACCTCGGGCAGAGCGGGGAACTGACACGCCCCACTCTTTGCTTCTCACCGCGCGGACTGCAGGCTGGCCACTGCCGGGCGCTGGGCCTCCGAGCGACGAGGTCCGAGGTCGCATTCTCTGGGGGCCGGGGGCGTCACAGCGCCTGGCAGCACCCGGGCCCAGAGGGTGAGGCTGGGCGGGCAGGGCCGCGGCCGTGTCCCTGTGCGCAGGCAGTGCCCACCGGCCCCTGCCCCTGCAGGTGGACGAGCTGTACGAGGGCTACTGCATCCAGTGCCGCCTGCGAGACGGCGCCTCCAACATGCAGCGGGCTTTCTCCAGGGGCCCGCCCAGCCGCGCCTCCCGCGAGAGCCTGCAGGAGCTGGGCCGCAGCCTGCAGGAGTGCACGGAGGTGGGCGGCACCGGGGCGTGGGGGCGCGGGTGTGGCCCAGGGCCCCAAGGAAGCATCTCTCTGCCTCGGCCTCTGTCTGGCAGGGACTGTGCGGGGCCGCCTGGCCTGGCCGGGGGCGGGCGGCTGAGCCACCTGTGTGGGGCTTTGCAGGACATGTGGCTCATCGAGGGGGCCCTGGAGGTTCACCTGGGCGAGTTCCACGTCAGGATGAAAGGTGACGGGGCTGGGAGTGGGTGGGCAGAGGCCAGCTCGGGTGGGGGCGTTAGGCCTCGGGGCCTAGACTTCTGCTTGGGGGAGCCTGCCCTAGCCCCGGCTTTGGCTCCGGGGGACATGGGACAAGGCCTGTGCCCTCTCCGAGTTGGATGTGACGGCCAGGCCCACCTTTGGCCCAGCATCCCATGCTGGCTTCCCCCACCCTGGAAGCTGACACCCACGTTCGGGTGGGGTGGGGGGTCCCCCAGAGAGGGCCTGGATCCCGAGGGCAGAGAGGACACCAGCCCGTCTCTGTGTTCCAGGCTTGGTGGGCTACGCACGCCTCTGTCCCGGAGACCAGTACGAGGTAGGGGCTCCCTCAGGGCGGCCGGCGGGCCTTCGGGGGTTGGAGCCGCAGGCCCGTCCTGCCCGCGCGGCGCCCACCAGCCTCCCGCCTTGCCGCAGGTGCTCATGCGCCTGGGCCGCCAGCGCTGGAGGCTCAAGGGCCGGATTGAGTCCGACGACAGCCAGACCTGGGATGAGGAGGAGCGGGCCTTCACCCCCACCCTGCACGAGAACTTCGAGATCAAGGTGGCTGGGGTGTCGGGGCGGGTTCAGGCGCCCGCCTTGCTGGAACGCCCTGAACCCACAACTCCACACCCCCAGGTGACCGAGCTGCGGGGCCTGAGCTCCCTGGCGGTGGGCACGGTGGCGTGCGACATCACCGACTTCTTCCTGACCCGGCCGCAGGTCATCGTGGTGGACATCACCGAGCTGGGCACCATCAAGCTGCAGCTGGAGGTGCTGTGGAAGTGAGTGGGGCTGAGTCCTCCCTAGCCCCGCTGCCCGCCCCCCCAGGGCAGCTGAGTGGGGTCACCCCAGAGCCCAGAGAGGGGCCTCTGGCTCCCCCTGGTGGCTGGCTGTGCCCTAGCAGCCCCTGACAGGGCTGTGACCTATCCTCTGGTGACAACTCCCTGGAACCACGGGGCTCCCTTGGCCACCCCGCCCCTGCCTGTTCTCTCTCCCAGCCCGTTTGACACCGAGAGCTGCCTGGTGTCGCCCGGGCCCACAGGCAAGTTCTCCATGGGCAGCCGGAAGGGCTCCTTGTACAACTGGACACCCCCAAGCACCCCCAGCTTCCGGGAGAGGTACTACCTGGTGAGTGAGCTGGGCTTGGGATGACCCCAGGGTGGCAGGCGGAGCCGCGTGGCCCCTCGGATGAAGCAAACTTTGGGCTCAGCTGCCCTTTTGAGGTTATCCTGCGAGTTTTCTAGACCTTTCCTTCCTGGCTGCCAGCCCCTCCATTCTGGGGACTCCGAGTGATATCCTGGATTTGGCTGTTTCTTTCTGGATGTCCAGAAAAGGGTTCTCTCCGTGCTTCTATCACCCCAGTCCTGGCCTTGACCTTCAACTCATTTGTTTTAAATTTGAATTGAAAGTGTTTTCAGTAGGGCGTACTTGACATAGTGACCTCTCTCCTTCCCGTGCCCTGCAGAGTTGGGGTCCCGCCTTAGCCCCAACCTGTTGCCAGTTCCTTCCACATCCTTCCAGAGCGCTCCACGCCTGTGCAAGTGCATTTTCTCCTGCATCTTTTACTCTACAGCAGCCGTTTTAAACCATGTGGAGGCGGGTTTTCTATGGTCCCCAGGGGCTTCCTCCCTGTTTGCCCCGGGGGAGGGGCCCCCTCTGGCTCCAGCCTGGGGCCATCGACAACCTAGTTACTGTCACTCAGGTAGCACATTAGATAGTGTGCTGCTGCCCTGGGCGCGGGGAGGGCCTGGGCCGTGGCTGGCGTTGTCACTTTGGAGCTGGGGAGGCTCCAGACACATTCCCAGTGAGCCCAAGAGCAAGGACAAGAAGGGCTTTCTGTGCAGTGTGGGGGAGAGTGAACTGAGCTGGGCAAAGCGCTGCACCCCTCCGAGGCTGGGCAAGCAAGTGGCTTTATGTAAGCCCGCAACTGTGTGTTTTGATGAAACTCTCCTGTCTGGCCATGATGGGCCTGGTGATCTTGAGCTAAAAGATCATCTGTGGTCAATAGCACTTGTCTCTCCTGGCTCCAGCGGGCCTGGGGCTCAGCGCAAGGCGGTGGCCTCTGCACGTGCTCAGGTTGTAGCGTTCGTAGCTGTGTCCCAGGCTCTGCTGTGCGCAAGCCTTAGTGGGAGGGCCAGACACGTCCTTTTATTTTGTGGCCTAGCGTCTGAGAGCACGTGAACCATTTCACCTCAGTTTCAGTGCTATCTGAGCGTGGGTCTGAGGGGGGCAGGAGCACAAGTCACAGAGAACACAGGGTGAAGAATGTTCAGTGAGCGTAGTCGGTGCAAAGGCCCTGAGGCAGGAGTTGAGTGAATGAGTTGAGTGAATGAGCCCAGGGGTGTAGGAGATGAAGAAGCTGCTGGGATTGGAGAGGAATTAGAGGGGTGTTGGGGGTAAAAGCAGGGAGGTTACAGGGTCACCAGCCCTTGGTGGATCTCAGGAACCTGAGAACGTGGGAATGCAGAACACGTCTCTGGGGAGCCCCCTGGGGGTCTTGTTGTGGTCCCTGGGGTGACCAAGGATTCTGGTCCCATGTGCCTCTCTCCAGTCTGTCTTGCAGCCTCCAGCACAGCAGAACTTGCTGCTGGGAGGCCCGAAGGCCTCCCTCCTCAGCTACCTGTCCACCAGTGACCTTCAGGGCCCCAGCCTGCGGAGCCAGAGTCAGGAGCTGCCTGAGATGGATTCCTTCAGCTCTGAGGACCCCCGAGACGCTGAGACCAGCACAACGGCATCTACCTCTGATGTGGGGTTCCTGCCCTCGGCCCTTGGCCCCAACACTTCCATTGAAGAGGAGACCCCAGAGGACCCCCCACCCCTGGGCCTGCTGCCAGAGCTCACCCACCTGGCGGGAAACTCACTTGTGGAGCAGCCCAGCTGGAGGAATTTGGGCATGGAGCGCCCCAACCTGCCCCAGGGCACCCCATTCCATGGCCGCCCACTCTCTGGTGGCCAGAAAGGCCATGATGACGAAGAACCCGAGGACGGGGTGCAAGGGCTTGGGGCAACCCTTGAGCGGCCCCTGCAGGAGGTTCTGGATTTACTGAGGTCCTCGGACCTTGCCCAGTCCCAGCTCCGGGAGCTGGAGCGCCAGGTCCTTGGCTTCAGGAACCGGCTGAAGGTATGTTCGCGTCTCTCTGGGCGGCAGCCGCGCTTGGCCCGTGGAGGAAGGGTGGGGAGCGCACAGCGGGGGGCAGACAGCAGGGGGCAGCGTCTTGCCCTCACCCTTGTGTGATCTGGGGGGGGCGGGGGTGTCTCCTCTCTGGGCCTCAGTTCACTCACCTGCCGAGTGGGGGTGACGGCGGCCCTCTTCGGCGGGGAGGACGGTTATAAGCGGAGCCCAGGGCTTGGCGGGGGTCACGTCCTCTGTGCCTGGGCGGAATGTGGCCCCAGCCCGAATCTTCTGACCTGGAAAATAGGGGTGAGGCTACAGTTCGGTGTTGGAGTCCCAAACTCGGGGGGTCCTTGGGGTCACACCTGCCACTGTGGAGTGCCCCAAACAGCCACACAGCCCACCTGAACCCTCTGGACTGGCGGTGTGCCAGGGCCTGGCGCTGGCGGGGGCCGATTATTCTTTTGGGTTAAATTCACAAGCACGGACAATAAAAGCGTAACACAGCACCCACTTAGCGCCAGTTCGTTCGTGAAGCCACCGTCTTGTGTAGGGTGCACCCTGGCCCTGAGCCTGTTGAGGGGCGCTCTTCAACCTGGCTTTGCTTGCTTCATTTCTGCCCTGCCCCAACATTCTACATCAGCAGAGGTGAAAGTTTGACTTTCACTTTCTAGCCAGTGACAAGCTAGAGTTCCCTGTTCCCCGCCGCTATGGGCGTCAAGGAGGACCCGCCTGAAACCGTCAAGAGAAACCCACATGAAATGCCGAAATGCAGTGTTCTCTTGCAGAACCCTCTGAATCAGCACGTGTGCGCGTTGCCACCTGTGTTTTGAAGTATTATACTCCCTTCACAGAAAGAGCTTAAACTAACACCACAGTAAGGCAAGAATTTTAAACACCGTCGACGAGCTTTTCTTGTTTTGGCAAACCGAGGTAGAACAATAAAAAATGAAGTCAGGCTGTGGCCTGTGAGGCTAATTACACTCGAGTGCACGCGTGTGCCAATGTGTGCGGCCGTTATTCATGGGCTCTGTCTTTGCGAACCCACCCACGTGCTAATATTTGCAACCCCCCACGTCAATACTTGGGGTGCACCTGAGGCCCAGGGGGAGCACACGGTGAGCGGGTTCCTGCCTCTCCCTCAGCTCAATGCACCACCCCACTGTACTTTTGGTGATTCTGCTTTTGAAAGTGCCCCCTCACACACACACACCAGCAGCTGGGGTGCAGAGGGAACGTGGGCGCTGGACAAGCTGTGCTCAGCCGGGGTCCCCACATCGGCCGGGAGGTCCCTGTAAATGCATCCACACGGGAAGTCGAGCGAGCTGCCTTTACTCGGCGACCCAGGTCTGCCGCCAGGTGGGGGCAGGCGCTGCCCCCGGGGCCCCGGCCTCGGCATTTACTCGGCGCCAGGGTTGAGAAGCACAAATTTGGGGATCACGGAGACTTGATGGACCAGAACTGCCTGGAATAATGGGTCCTGACTGTTTGTGCTTGTGCATGTGTGTGCATGCGTGTGGATGCGGGCAGGCATGTGCTTTCACGCGAGCAGGCGTGTCCTTGCGTGTGCACATTCACACGGGCGCCTTTCCCCCTGCCCCCGGGCGCTGCCTTCTTACTCTATTGTTGCTCAAGCGTTTCTCTCTGGGCTCAGTCTTGTGGGCCCTGGGGGCAGCGTCCGCCTGGGCTGTGTCCTGGGGACGCTCCGTGGGACGTGCCGGGGCTGGGGTCCAAGCACCGGCCAGGACACGCCGTGGTCTCAGCCCAACCACAGCCCAGCGCGCCCCACGGCCTCCGCTTCTGCATGTCCCTGTGAGTCCCCGTGAGGAGAGCCCCCCCAGAATCGAGGCTCCTCCGGCAGCTTTCAGCCTCCCTGAATGGCACTCAGACCCCGGTACTGAACTTTAAAAATAATTTGGCATTACTGATAATGCTTGACTGATATTACCGGCAGCTTCCCACAGCAACTGTCTTCCTGCTTTTCTTAGAAAATGGACTAAGCTGGCAACAGTGGCCCCATGGACCCCAGTGGCAGGAGCAGCAGAGCGACCCCCGTCTTGGGGAGGGAGACGCCTGCTCCCCGGCTCCTCCCACGGCGTCCATGGGCGAGGCTTTGCTCATCTGTCTCCCTGCACGTGGGCCCCAGGCCCAGGGAGCGCTGCCACCCTGTGCCTGTCCCAACCCGGGGGGTTGTGCTGGGGCAGCTGGCTGGCCCTCAGGTGTGGCCGCTCGTCCCCAGCCCCGCGCCGCACCCCCGGAGCGCGCCTCTGCCGAGAGCTTGATGGAATGCATCCTGGAGAGCTTCGCCTTCCTCAACGCCGACCTCGCCCCGCACGAGCTGTCCCTGTTTGGGGGCTCCCAAGGTCCCCGGTGAGTGTACCCCCTCCCAGGGCTAGCCCCAGGGCCATGCATGCTACCTGTGGGCACCTTCCACTGCCCCTCCCGGCCCACGGGCCACTGCCTGGCATAGCGCAGTTTCTTCCAGACAGAGCCACCGAGACTCCCCCAGCTGCCGAGCTCTCCACTCCCAAAGGGCTTTGACTTTTTAATCTTAACACATAAGGACGCAGTGCCCAGGAGGACCCTGCCCCAGGAAGCAGCACTCAGCGCGCCCCACGGCCCCCATTTGCTCCGTTAGAAGTTGCACTTCCTCCATCAGGGCTGTGGAGAGGGCTTCCCCTGCACCCCAGCCTCAGTGCACAGAGCGCCGCGGCCATCCAACAACTTCTCTCACAGTCCACGAGCCCTTTCCACCCGGCGTGATGGGCCCCAGCCGCCCGCCCACAGGCTGCAAGGGCAGCGGGCTCATCGGCCGCCTGGGCCCACGAGCCCCGGTGCCCTCGCTTGGTATTCCTGGCCCCGCTTCACGGATGAGGCCAGTGGGGCCAGGCGGGCCGTCTGGGCCAGCGTCACGGAGCTGGGTGATTGAACTGCAGGCTTCTCTCCTGCAATGCCCAGCCTACAGCAACCCTGCTCCCTGGGGCCAGCCCAGCCCATGGCCTCTGCTGCTTTCCCTGTCCTTCATTTTCTCCACTGACTGCCTTCTCCTGGCAGGGAGACGGCTTCCCTGAGAGCTGGGCAGGGGTTTCCGCCACCCTGGGAGGGAGCCACTAAGGGCGCTAAAGGTCACGCAGCTCTTCTCTGTGCCACTCAGGAAGGACAGGACCCCACCCCCACCGCCAGAGCTGACTGCCCCCGGGGAGCTCGTCGCAGACACCCCCGAGCTAGACACGCTGCTCACCACCCACCTGCAAGTCTGCAGAGCTCTGATGCAGGTGACGAGGGTGGGGCCGGAGGGGGCTCACGGTGGGGTGGCTGGCAGGGGGCAGGAGTCCTTTGCGCAAAGGACTGATTTTGAAAGTGGGGGGTGGGCACCTGTCCCCCGAGAGCCAGAGAGTGAGGAGGCACCTCTGCGAGGGTTCAGGGGGGTGGAGCGTCACGAGGCTCAGTGGCAGCCCAAGCCCCGAACCAAAGGCGGTGGCTGCAGCGCCTCAGCTGCAAGTGCCAGAGTCTGGCCCGGTGGGCACCACTGGCAGGAAGCGATTGCTCACAGAACCGAAAGGCCCAGAGGCGGCCATCAGGTCTGGCTGGATCCAGGGTTTGAGCTACCGTCCTCCTGGGTTCCTCCCTCTCTTGGCAAGTTTTCTGTGCGGGCTGACGCTACTCGCAGGCAGGCTGGCCCCTTCCGGCCACAAAGGTGGGCCCTAGGGGTTCCAGCCTGCACCCTGTCACCTCAGCCACCCTGGTGAAGGGGAACCCCAGAGGGCAGCAGGGAGCCCCCACGGAGACAGGAAGGGTGGGTGTGCCGCCAGAGGGTGCGCCCACGCTAACCTGCACCGTGGCGGCTGCTTCCCAGAAACTGGCCTCGCCCAGCTTGTCACGGATAGTGCGGGAATGCCTTCTGGAAGAGGCAGGGCAGCAGACGCAGGTTCTGGAGACGCTCTCCGGGCTTGATTTTGAGAAGGCCAGCCAGGCGAAGTCCATTGAAGAGGGTAAGTAAGCGCCAGTGCCACAGGCTGCCGGAGTGCAGCGGCGGGCTGAGGCTCGTCTCCCTGTGACGCGCAAGGCCACCTGGGGCCAGTGGGGCGGCGGCTGGGATGGCGCAGACACCCCTTTGGGGACAGGCGGGCGCCACATCGGGGTTAGCAGCATTCGCTCTTCAGTCAGATTCACCTCTCTGAGCCTCAGTTTCCCCATTTGTAGACTGGGAGGCCCCTGGGAAGGGTTCAGTGACATAATCCCAGGGACACATTCGGGACATGCCGTGGTGCTCAAATGCACAGTAGCTGGGACCCAGTCCTGCCTCTGCCCCCCGGGGGCCTGGCCTTGCCCACGAGAAGCTGGTGATAGCAGCCGCCTGGGGTGGTGGGGCCTGCAGGTGGGGGCCTGGCCGCTGGGCCACAGCCCACACTGCCCGTTCTCCGTGTCACGCTGGACGCTGCACTGGGCCCTGGCGTCCCTGGGCTCCGGCCGCGCGGAGGGGAGTCTGGCCTCCTCGGTGCTGGTGCTGCCCGGCCGGGCAGGCTTCTGAGCCTGGGCTTTCAGTCGTCCCGCAGGCCACGCGGAGGAAGGGGTGCCTGAAGCTGTGGAGGGGGTGCACGCAGCCCGGCAGGGTCCTGTCCTGCCCAGCCACCACGCTGCTGAGTCAGCTCAAGAAAACCTTCCTGCACAGAGTCCGAGGGAAGCACCCGGGGCAGCTGGAGATCGGTAGGTGCCAGAGCGGCAGGGAGGCGCCCGGTCGGCCTGTCCCGGTGCTGTCACTGGGCCTCGGGAGCGGCTTCTCGGCTCGGCCACAGGCCATCCCCTTGTCCCGGGGACAGAAAGGCGGGGTCTGTGGCCCCGACAGATGGGAACCTGAGTGACTGGGTGCATTTTTCTGGGAGCAGGTTCCAGAGCTCTCGAGGGGTTAGGAGAGAAGTTGTATGGGCAGGTAGGCAGGCCAGGCCGGCACCGGCGTCTCTCCCAAGAGTGCAGGGCCGTGGTGCGCTCTGCTCACCGCTGGAGGGTGACACTGGACTCCAGCAGTGACAGGAACCGGAGCCGCTTGCGCCACTCTGGGCTGCAGGCAGGTGGGATCTGGGGTTCAGGCACATAGAGGCACCCCGAGAGCCAGGCTGGGGGCCCATGGATCCCAGCAGCTCGGGGCAGTGGGGTCCCCTCCATGTGCGTGGGATGGTCTGTTTCCCCTCCCTGCCCATGTCTTGCCAGCGTGTCACAGGCTACTGGAACAGCTGCTCAGCTGCAGCGGGCTGCTCCCCGGGTCCGGGCCGCCCGAAGAACAGACGGTCACCTGGTTCCAGTTTCACGGCTACCTGCAGAGGCATGGCGTTTCTGACCTGGAGAAGCACTTCGCCCAGCTCACCAAGGAAGGTATCAGCTGGGGAGCGGAGGAGCGGGGCAGGGAGGGCGGGGCGGGGGCGGGGCCGGGTGGCCTCAAAGCCCCAAGGTAACAAGGACAACGGGGTATCCCAGAGCCCCTCGCGCTCAGGGGTCACATTCTCAGTTCCACATTCGTCTCCCGCTCTGTAGAGAATCCAGCTTCGGTTAGATTCGATGCCCAGCCCCCACAGTGAAAGTAGCTCCAAGGGAAGGCGGCTTTACAAAGGGGCAGAAGTCAGAGCTGGGGCCTGGGGGCGTGGGCTGGGAGGTTGTGACTGTTCAGGGTGTCCTGCAGCCCGCAATTAAAGTCCTCTGCGGGGACCAGGCCTGGGTGATCACAGGACTGGCCGTGGGGGTTTGAGTCTCCCTGCGTCTGGCAGTGGCCAGGTGCACCTGCCGCTAGACGGCCTGACCCCTCCGACGGGGGCCCAGGCCACGTCTCCTGTCCCCTCTAGTGACACTGGCGGAGGAGCTGCAGTGCCCGGGGCGGCTCAAGACCATCAGGAAGCTGCAGGGGAAGAGGCTGGACCAGCTCCAGCCCCTGCCCCAGACGTTGAGCGCCTGGGCACTGCTCCAGCTGGATGGGACCCCACGGGCCTGCAGGGCGGCCAGCACGCGTCTGACCTGTGCAGCCGGGAACAGGAGCTTTCGAGAAAAGGTAGCGTGTGAGGAGGGGCGGCGGCAGCCCCATGCCCAGGTGTGTGGAGGAGGGAGGCTGCTTCTCCTGTAGCAATACAGTGACGGGGGTTGTACTTGCTGCAAGATACTTTGATTTGGTGGGGCTTAAAACAGAGCACCCCTCGGGGAGGGGTCAGACCCGGGACTATCAGGCCATCACCCGCTGAGCCCACATTACCATAGCCACAAGCTGACCACCCGGCTCATCTCAGTGTTTCTGGTCTGGTCGGTCGCGAAACATCACTAGCCCATAGAAATATGATGGTCACTGACTTTCCAATGACACGTGGGACTGGCTGGTGATGGATTGCTGGACTCTGTCCACTTGCAAACCAAGAGATTGGACTCCTTGGCAAAAGGTCACCTAAAAGCTTAGCTCCTGGATCAGTGACTGTTCTCCACCGAAGGTACCAGCCCCCTGCACGGGCAGGCGTGTCCGGCCGCATGCATGCTCTTGATCTCAGTTCTGCCTGCGCTGGCGGGACATGGGGTGTTGCTTGCCGTCCTCTGGGGCTCACCAACTGCATGGGGGACATTGCTTTCAGCTCTTTACTCGCAGACTAGTACGTAAAGTCTGCAAGACAAATAGTCAGAACCACGTGATGTCCACCTACACCAGTCCCCAGAGCCCGCCCGGGCGGCCTTGCCGGGACACCAGCCACCCCAGCCCCGGTTATCTGGACACTGCCCAGATAAGCGGCCCTACCCGCCTGCACCTATGAGATAAGGAGCCTGAAGCCAGGGCCCAGTCATCACACCTGAACACACTCCCAGTTCCTGACTATCTCGACGGCCTCTGCTCACCCTCCCACGTGTACTACGTAGTACTACGTGGCTTCTTCCCCTTTTTGCTGAATCAGACCCGCCCACAGGCCTCACACACCACTGGCTGTGCCTTAAATTTCCTGCACCCTCAGGTCCCACTCCCTCGCTTTCCCCCCTGGCAATGCCCTTGCTGCCGACACCAGGCTCCTGTCCGGCTTGCCCCCCCACCCCCAAACTTTACCCGTGTACTAGAAGGTACCGTGAGCCCCACAGGCCCCTAGTTAGTCCTTCTGGTGCCGGGCAGTGAACCCCGGGGTGCCCTCCAGCTGCCGTCCCTTGGCTGTGGTCGTGTGGCTGGTGGGCGGGGCCAGGGCTGTGACAGGGACATGTGGCAGGGAAGGGGCCTGCCATTGCCCAGGGCAGCAGCCGCCGGCTGCCAGGCCAGCTCACTGTGTGTGGACCTGTTTCCAGCTGGACATCCGGTGCTCTGACTCTCAGTGCATCTTGTGAACATCATGAAACAAAAAGAGCTTTCTCCAGGCGCCTGGCATCATCTGAGGTGGCATTTCAGAGCCAGCACGGTGTGCGCCTCTGGAGAGGGTGCCTCCCCAGAGGCTGACAGGCCGGCCGACCTTGCTGAGAGAAAGGGCGGCTCGCGGGCAGGCCCGCGGCGTCGGGGGGCAGGCCCTCTCACAGCTCCTTTTTTGCAGGCTCTGCTCTTCTACACGGACGCCCTGAGCGGGAAGGACGCCAGGCTCCAGCAAGCCGCTTGTGTGGCGCTCAAACACCTCAGGGTGAGTCGGGTCTGCGCGGGCAGGACGGAGACGCCCTCCCGTGGCCGACGCTAGTTAGTCCGCTGCAGGCTGAGCCCGTGGGGACCACACGGGAGCCACCCCCGCCTCGGCGGCCCTCACGCGCTGGTTTCAGAGGAGCGGCCGCCCCACTGGCCGAGGCGCTGGCCGGGGGCGCAGGCCCTGGCTCCCCGCGGGTGAGTGGGTGGCCCCAGGGTCTCACGTCTGAGCCCCTGGAGCATAGAGGTTCTTACTTTGATTAAAAACTCTCAAACTTCCTACTGTAACCTCAGTGTAGAAGAAAATGTCCAATACAGAAACGGGAAAGGGACCTGCCTACGCTTAGCGTGAGCCCTGCGGACAGCTCGCTGTTTTGGGTGCATCATAGCGCCTGAAGCCATTGGTCACGTTAAATTTAGTTTAAAACCAGTGATGAGAGTCGGAACTTTCTGGCTGGGCTGGGAGCCCCTTGGGATTCTCTAAGAGGGGAACCTCCGGCGTCTGCTTGGACTGAGCGACGTCCCCACCGTCGCTGTAGCGGCCGTAGGTTCTTTCTCCCAGTGCTGAGGGTAACCGTCACCGTGAGCGTCTCTGCACAAAGCTTTCCACACACGACTTGGGATTTGCCTCCCCGGGCAGCTCCCTGCTGGGGTCCCCGCTGGGCGCCTGTCTGGCCTCAACCTCAGCCTAACGTCCTCGTCTTTAAGCAGCTGACTAGTTAGCTAGTGAAAAACCCCATGGCTGTGGAAGTCACTCAACCCGTCACTGTGAAGCCGACAGGAAATTCTAGGGCGACCACGTCATTATAATCAGCCAGCCAGTTCGAGGAGATGGGCACCCAGGAGGGAGGTGGAAGTGGACTCTGGTCCCTGGCCCCGAAGGACAGAGGGGTCAGCTGTGCCTGACTGGGCCCTGCTGGCCCCTTCCCTCCCCTCACCCAACCTGGAGGGCCGGGGAGGGGCGGGGAGCCAGGGGCACTTGGAGGAAAGGAGGTCTTCTTTCTCCAGACGGGCTTTCCGGGTGCCCAGACAGCTCTGCTGAAGGCCGGGCTGGCTAACTGGGCTCAGGAGTGAAGCCGAGCCCCTTCCCCTGGGCTCCTGTTGCACTAGAGACCCGGGAACCGTGCCAGGCCCAGCCCTGCTGCTGAAATGGCGCCTAATGAGCTCTCTTGCCCCATCCTCGCCCAGGGCATCGAAAGCATCGATCAGATCGCCAGCCTGTGCCAGTCTGACCTGGAGTCCGTGCGGGCAGCAGCTCGGGACGCCACGCTGTCCTTTGGTGAGGGACACATCCAAGGGGTGTGGAGCAGTGGGGGCCAGGCCGTCTGGAAAGGTGGTGCTAAGGGAGCTGCAGTCGCTTCTCCGAAGACACAAAATAGAGCAAGTGGCCACTTAAGTCTGGCCAGGGTGGGTTTCTTTCATGGTTGAGGGGCAGGAAGTGCTTACTTCCTCCTTAAACTTCCGCTTACGAGCTGTGGGATGAAAGGCAGTGTGAAGGCAGGACAGCAGTCCAGCGGACTGTCCTGGACTTGCGGGGGTGGCTCTGGTCCATGCCAACCCGCAGCGGGTAGGAACTCCCTAAACGCTACCCTCTCACCCCCAAGGCCCACAGGCTAGAAAGTTCTGAGTCAACCCTGGCCCCCAAGAGGAAACAGGAGGTGAGGGACAAGCCAGTGATGCATCACTTCACTGTTTCAGGTGAGAAGGGACGCTTGGCTTTCGAGAAGATGGACAAACTCTGCTCAGAACAAAGAGAAGCCTTCTGCCCGGAGCCAGATGTTGAAATCACAGTATTTTAAAAATCCTGAGCTGACTGACGTGCCTGAATCTGGCGTTTTTGCTGCTGTTCAGCTTTGACAGGGCCTGAGCTCCGGGTCGGGGTGCGCTGAGCAGCCCCAACACAAGTGTTCGTGGGCCAGAGATCGTGACTCCAACAAGCCACGGGCTTCTGCTTCGAGACCCACCTCCCTGGGGCGGAGCTGGGGTGGCCCAGTCGGCCACAGGCGCGGAGGGCCCAGGCTGAGGCCTGAATGGAACAGCCAGAACGCGGGGCTGCGTACACGGCAGCTGGCTCAGCGCGCTGCTTCCCTAGACCGGGACAGAGGCAGCACGCGGCCGACCCGCCCTGCCCACAGCGCGGAGGGGTCGAATGGACGGCAGCAGGCTGTCCCCAGGGCCCGGCGGGGTCTCCTAGCAGCCCGGAGTCTGACGGCACCTGCTGACCGTGGCCTTGTTCTGTGCTCAGCGGCACCAAGCAGGACATGCCCTCAGCCAAGCTTCCTTGGCGGTCGCGTCGGTCAATGCGTCTGCTCTGACCACGTTCAGCAAAATGGAATCGGACTTTTGAAGCTGACTTAGGGCCTGTTCAAGTAACTGCTTCGGAAGCCATTAGCTAGTTTGAAGAAAGGTTTCACTACAAAAGTACGTTGCTTTAAACAAAGAAACTAGTTTCCTAGTTAAGTCCATTAGGAAACCCCAGCGTGTCCCAGGGACGTGTCCCAGGAATACCCTGGGCCTGAGGTGGCTGTCACAGGGCCCCTGGGAGCTTCTAACTTAAACATGCTCATTTACACTCTGTCTCTACTTTGTATTTAACTTAGTATTTATTGGCTTTGTTGCTGTGTCTGATTTTCTAAAATCCAATTAAAGAATCATTTTTAACTGGTGTGCCACGTTACCTGAAAGCTTGTTTTCCCAAACCTCCTGCTGCGGAGAGGCTGCCCTGGGGCCCGTAGGCGCTTTCTTCCCGCACCACATCACAGCGACGCTCCCTGGAGCAGGTTCTCCGGCAGAAACTGGAGTGAAGGAAGCAGCCTCAGGGGTGGCCCCTGGAGATCCCCCCCCCCCCC